CCACGTGAGTGGCACGACACACTGAGGACTACACTTGCGGCTCTTGGGTTTGCTCCTTCTACTGCCGACCCGTCGCTGTTTCTACGCACCGACACCTCTCTGCCGCCGTTCTACATCCTCGTGTACGTCGACGACTTGGTCTTTGCCACAGCTGACACTGCTGGACTCGCCTACGTGAAGTCCGAGCTGCAGAAGAGACACACGTGCACAGACCTGGGTGAACTGCGCAGCTACCTTGGCTTGCAGATCACCCGGGACAGAGCACGCCGCACCATTACCCTGACTCAGTCACACATGGTGCAGCAGGTCCTTCAGCGCTTCGGCTTCACGTACTCCTCGCCTCAGGCCACTCCTCTGTCTACTCGCCACTCGCTCTCAGCTCTGCCTTCGGATGAGTCCGTAGAGTCGAGTGGCCCGTACCCAGAGCTTGTTGGCTGCCTCATGTACCTGATGACCTGCACACGACCTGACCTTGCATACCCTCTTAGCATTCTCGCACGCTATGTTGCTCCTGGGAGACACAGACCAGAGCACATGGCTGCAGCGAAGAGGGTGTTGCGCTACTTGTGCAGTACGTCGGGCATGGGGCTAGTGCTTGGAGGGCGGAGTCCAGTGGTCCTCACTGGGCACGCGGACGCTTCTTGGGCTGACGACCAGGCTACGCAGCGGTCGTCACAGGGTTACACCTTCAGCCTTGGTTCCGGCTCTGTTTCGTGGCGGGCTACTCGCTCGTCTTCTGTTCTTGGCTCGAGTTGTGAGGCTGAGATCTACGCCGGGGCCATGGCTGCACAGGAGCTTCGCTGGCTCACCTACCTGCTGACCGACCTTGGAGAGCCGCCTCGTTCTCCTCCAGTCCTGTACGTAGACAACAAGGCCATGCTGGCCTTGTGTCGAGAGCAGCGACTGGAGCACAGAACAAAGCACATTGCTCTCCGCTACTTCCTTGCTCGTGAGCTACAGCAACGTGGTCAGTTGCGGCTTGCGTACGTGGCCTCTGAGGCCAACACTGCTGATGTCTTCACCAAGGCACTTCCGCCTTGTGATCATCAGCGCTTCTGCACTCAGCTGGGTCTTGTGCCCGTCTTGCCTCACTTGCTCTCCTCTTGACCTTGCCTGTACTCTCACATATATATATACCTGCTCTTGCTTGTCTAGTTTTATATATATGTGTGTACTCTTGCATGTGAACTGGCCGTGTGGCCTTGACCCTGTGCTCGGACTGTGTGGTGACTTTGTGATCCACCCTGAGCTTGCTTTGCTTTACTTTGCTTGACTGGTCTTGTGACCCCTTGTTCTCCCCCACTTTGCCTATGGGGGTGTGTCAGAACATTATAGCTTATGCTGTTGTGTAGGCTATAGTGGGGTATCCCATAGGGGGTACAACCAATTAGGGTTTCATATTTGTACTCACTTCATTTCATAGTTCATTCATTCTTGTTCAAATCTTCTCATACCCGTACCGTCAGCAGCTCCAGCACCTCCAGTACCTCCAGCTCTAGCGCCTCCAGCACCAGCAGCACCTCCAGCACCTCCAGCACCAGTAGCATCTCCAGCACCTTCAGCACCAGCAGCACCAACAGCACCAGCACCTCCAGCGCCAGCAGCTCCAGCACCCCCAGCACCTCCAGTAGCACCTCCAGCACCTCCAGCACCAGCAGCAGCACCAGCTCCGGCAGCTCCAGTACCTCTAGTACGAGCACCTCCAGGACCAGCAGCTCTAGCACCTCCAGTGCCTCCAGCGCCGGCGCCTCCAGCACCAGCAGCACCTCCAGCACCTCCAGCACCAGCAGCACCAGCACCTCCAGTGCCAGCAGCTCCAGCACCCCCAGCACTTCCAGTAGCACCTCCAGCCCCTCCAGCACCAGCAGCACCACCAGCTCCAGCACCTCTAGTACCAGCACCTCGAGGACTTGTAGCTCCAGCACCTCCAGTGCGAGTAGCTCCAGCACCCCCAGCACCTCCAGTAGTACGTCCAGCACCTCCAGCACTAGCAGCAGCACCAGCTCCGGCAGCTCCATCACCTCTAGTACAAGCACCTCCAGGACCAGCAGCTCCAGCACCTCCAGTACCTCCAGTACCTCCAGCACTAGCAGCTCCAGGACCTGTAAAACTCCAGGCTCCAGCACCAGAGCGGCCTCGCCGAACGACCCACTCACGAAGCTGCTGCGGTGAGGGCGTCTCGAGTCCACTAGGCAGCTGCTGCTGTCCAACGCCAGGACCTGCAGCAGGAGCACCCACGGCCCCACCACCACTAGGACTCGCAGCACCCCCAGAGTCGGCACCCCCAGAACCATCACCCCCAGTCTCAGCACCCCCAGAACCTCACCCCCAGTCTCAGCACCCCCAGGACCAGCACCTCCAGAGTCCTCAACCCCAGTGTCACCAGTGTCTACAGCGACAGGCTGTAGAGGCGGCGAAGACGGTCGAGGCGGAAATCCAGGAGGGGTTTCCAAGCGTGGAGAGCGACGAGTGGCCGCCGTGTCGTCAGCGGCAGGGTCATCCCCCTCAGCCGGGCCAGAGGTGTCAGAGGAGACCTCCAAATGCTCAACCAAGAGGGGTGGGTCTACCTGAGACACACCTGAGGGAGCAGGACCCTGTGGGGGGAGGGGGTCTACCGGGGGGGGGGGAACTGGTACCAGGAAGAGAGGCGTCAGGGGGACTGGGTGGGACACGTGCGGGTGGAGCCTGTAGAAACAGACAGACTCATCAAAGGTGACGTCCTGGGAGGACATGACTCGACACGAGCAAGGTGGTAAAACTGCCACGGCGGGGCGTCGGTGGGGAAGCCTAGGCAGGCGCAGCGGAGAGTGCGAGGAGAGAGCTTGCTCACGGTGGTATCGCGAACAAGGGAGATCGCGCCCCAGACCCGAAACGCCGACGCATCGCCAACCTCTCCAGTCCAACGGAGTGTCCGGGGCAGCGTGAGAGACTCTGTTCAGGCAGGGCAGGCGGAAACTAGCGGTGGGCCCTAACGGAGCGGTTCTACGGAGGGACCTGCTCTGATACTTGTTGAAATAGTTGCTTTACTTAGTAGACTTAGTAGCCTAGGGTTTAGACTTAGAAAGTAGCGAGAGGAAAGTGTAAGCGAAAAAGGTGTTCTATAAAGAGAGAAGGTACAAGGATATAGGCAAAGCAAGCAAGGTGCACCACCAAACAAGGTTAGCACTATACTAAGTCTACACTACAGGCAGTTATAGTATAATGTATTCTATTATATTCTGACAATACTATGTCGAAAAATAACTGTGCAGGAATGAATGAACTATGCAAGAGTGAGATACAAGTAGTAAACCCTAACTGGGGTTGTACTCTATACTGAGCACCTCACTGTAGCCTAGCAGAACTAACATTGTGCTCTATGAATTTTTTATGTGTTCAGGGGTCTTAATAAATATGCCCCTTGGTATTGTTCACCTAATCAATTTTCACAACATTTTTAATAAGACCCCCAGGTCATATATATGGGAGATTACGGTACATTTTGTTTTTGTCCCTTTGATTGCACTTTGTGTCCCACTAAAGTCTAATATTTGCCATTCTGGTTTTATAATGTTCCGACAGTACAGGAATCGTGTCTTATGGTTTCTGAGATTCTTGCAAGTAAAACCATTTGGGTCTGGTGTAATTTGCCTGTGCATTGCTTGCACAGCATGGCCAGGAACCAACTTTCTGATTCGTAGTTAAGATAGCTAGTGCTCTAGACAGGAGAATAGAATTGTTGTTCGCTGTAGCGCACCCCCTGCTTCCTCGTTATTCCCGCAATCGAAGCAGCTTTTGAAAGGGTCCATTTCAGCACCCATTTTGAAATCCACAACCAGAATCCATACCTCACGATCCACTAAAACGTCATGTCGTGGCTCTCGTTGTTACATCTGAAACAATGGAGTCAGCCAGAGATCGACAATGAACCAGCATCTTGGTTCTTAGCAAGAACGATGTACTGAGGTTATTATTGTGAGCTAGCTGACCGAAGCACTTCTTCAGAAGCGTTCACGATCCGTTAGCGAAGCTCATAATGTCGTGTACGCACGCGTCAAACCCTGGTGTCGTTGTCAGACGCCTCCACGCGGCTCTCACTCGTCGCATTCTGCCTGTCGCCGTCGCGCTGACCGTCGCTTACTTGGCGATCTTCGAGCTGCGACCCAGCCTGCTCTCCGCTGACACCTCACGTTCATCCGGGTCGCCCCTTTTCCCGCAAAGCGGCTGCGAGACGGCGAGGAATTGTCGCGGTACACTGCTGGATCGATATGTTTATACCGCGGATGCGGAATTCGGGTGAGTTTTTAACGGTGTTATACAGGAAACCATTCGCCTTTTCAGAAGTGAAAGACGGCGTTATATGTAGCTGTGCGTTTCCGATCCAAATTCCACGTCTGCCATCCGTGAGCTCAAAACACACCCATTGTTCACCACAGGATCCATCGGAATCATCGTCAGCACTTATCCCTTGCACACTGGACCGTAGTCCCTTGGATTCATCGTGCACCCTCGTCATAAACACTCGAGATCCTGCACATTTTTTATCACCTCTTTATAGCGCATGTTGCAGAAGGTTTGGTGTAGCTCGTGTGCTTCCACTCCTGCAAGTCCTCTCCTCAGTCACGGGCTGTTCTTACCCAAATGGGAAGACAGGTGTACACGTGTGTAACCGGGTAACCGTCTGCAGGCAAAGAAGGTTGGAGGGAGGAGTGGAGGATGGGGAATGTGAGTACTGATCCCGAACCTGCCTTTGAGTCTCGTATACCCGAATCTAGCTTTTACAATCTGCGTGTGTGTGACCAGGTGTGCTTGTGCCCTCCTCTTTCCCCCTCCACACACCGATGGCTCAAGACACTGTCACTCTCACTCTCACTCACTCACCAATTCATCCGATCTATGGTGTTGGATTTTCCATCGGCTTCTTCTGCTGGCAGGTGGAAGGAGACGGGCAATGGCATGCGAGCCAAGGAGCCTGGAGGGTGGCTGCACAGTGCTCTCACTCCCAGCAACCCATCCGACCTATGGCGTTCGTTTCTCTCTCGTCCCGCCCTGCTGCTGGCAGGTGGAAGGACACAGGCAATCGCATGAGAGCCAAGGAGCCTGGAGGGTGGTGGACGGGGTATGTGCTGCTGGTGAACACCCACCGCTGGCTCAACGAATCCGTTACTAACCGATTCTCCTGGTGGCACCACGTGACTCTTATTGTGAGCACTGGCTTTGAATATTGAACACCTTAATTACCCTCTATGGATGGTGGGAGGAGGCAGTACACTTGAGAGTGGATTACGAGCTCCAAAGTCAGCTCTGTACATGACAAGAGCTTCAAGTGAGTGATGGAAAACAGTGCAGCTGTTTGCAATGTTCTACTTGTTTACGTGGGTGTTGGTGTCGTTTGGTGTGGTGTGGGTGCTGTTGCCTTGTCTTGTTGCTTCCAGGCGCGAGACAACGTGACGAGCGCCAGCAACACGCGCTTCTTCATTCTCTTGTGCTTCTCATGTTCAAGGGCCACCAAGGGCCAGCAAGGGCCAGCAAGGGACTGTGTTGAATGCATATCTCCTGCTTCTCCATCCTTCCTCTCGCCCGCCTGCTCAGGCGCCAGACAACATGGCGAAAGCCAGCAAGGGGCTGGTGCTGTTGTTCGTTGGGGCGGGGTGGACGGACCATGGCGGGGACGACTGGAGCTACCACATCCCCAAAGACTCCGACGTCTTCATCCGCGTTGCTGCTCCGTGAGTGGCAGGGAGGGGCGTGCAGTGCAGTGCAGTGCATGTGTGTGTGAGTGGGAGCACCATGTGTTGCGGGGTGGAATGACCACCCGTCAGGGATGACCGGCGCTACGACATCCCCAAGGAATCCGACGTCTTCATCCGCGTTGCTGCTCCGTGAGTGGGACGGCGGGGCGTGAATGGGGTGGGAGGGGGTGAACGGGGTGGGAGGGGCGTGAACGGGGTGGGAGGGGCGCGAACGCGGTGGGAGGGGCGTGAACGCGGTGAGAGGGGCGTGAGTGCAGCGACGGAACGCGCTTTCACCCACGTCGCAGGTGGGTGTGTGTGGGAGGGGCGTGAGTGGGAGGGGCGTGATTGGGAGGGGCGTGAGTGGGCGTGGGTGGGAGAAGCGTGAGTGGGAGGAGCGTGAGTGGGAGGAGCGTGAGTGAGAGGAGAGTGAGGCTTGTAATCCATTGCATCGGTCACTGTGCCCAGTGCATCCTCTCTTCCCATCGCCATCCTCCCGTCAGCTCCCGCCCTTCTCCCCACCCCCTCCCTACCACTGTGTTATGCCTGCTATGCCTGGCTGCTGCTCTGCCACTCTGCTGTGGCCGTTATCCCCCCGTTGTAGGCTGGTGGTGGATCTGGGCATGCTGGGCGTCATGCTGCACCAGCAGCCCATGATGCCCATCACCTTCCATGTCTCCCCGCCTGGCGTCAGCCACAGCATGAGCCAAGAGCTGCTAGAGGAGGAAATCACAGCATGTAAGCGAGTCAGCCTGTAGCGTGTCCTATTCCTGCTGGCGCCAGCAGCACAGCTGAAGCCAAGAGCACTACAGTACAACCTGTACTGGTCAGCCTATGGTGTGCCTGCGTTGTTGCTAGCGTCAGCTGCAGCAGAGGAACTCAAGAGTCGAGGAGATGGCAGCTTGTAAAGGAGTACGGGTCCGGCGCCTCACCAGCAGAGTTATAGCGTGGCGCTGGCTCGCTGGCGTCAGCAGCAGCAGCGATACCCCAATAGCTGGTTGCGCAGGAAAATGAGTGCATGTGGGGAGATGAGTGCATGTGGGGAGATGAGTGCATGTGGGGAGATGAGTGCGTGTGAGGACACCAGTGGTTGTCGAGAATTTTACTCTCCTTCCTTCGTCCATTCCCCGCCCTCGCCCCTCACCCTCCTTCCCCTTTCCCCTCCGCTCACCTTGTCCGCCAGTCACTCTGGGCATGGCACTGCACGACCCCAGCACGCCCGAGTGGTCCATCTACATGCCCATGGCCAAGTCCATCGTCCGCGCCATGGATGCCACCCAGCTCGCTGCAAGACAGCTGCTGCCCCATGTGCCGGTGAGTGCTGCTGCTGCCCCATGTGCCGGTGAGTGCTGCTGCTGCCCCATGTGCCGGTGAGTGCTGCTGCTGCTGCCCCATGTGCCGGTGAGTGCTGCTGCTACCCCATGTGCCGGTGAGTCCTGCTGCTGCCCCATGTGCCGGTGAGTGCTGCTGCTGCCCCATGTGCCGGTGAGTGCTGCTGCTGCTGCCCCATGTGCCAGTTAGTGCTGCTGCTGCCCCATGTGCCGGTGACTGCTGCTGCTGCCTCAGTGTTGTTGCTCGCTTGCAGTGATGGGTTCTTCCTTGCATGGAGCATGTGATCCTCGATGATGGATGATAGACGATGGGTGCATGTATGGATGTTTGGGTGTGTGACGGGTGTGTGATGGATGACTGACTCATCGCGCATCACTACCACCATCTTTTTCCTCATCCAGCTCACCCCATGCCACTCTTTCTTTTTCTCTCTCTCTCATCCCTGATCACGCATCCCTTGCGCCGTGCCCCATTCTCCCTCCCCCACCTGGCAGGTGGAGGGCTTCGTGAGTGTGGGAGTGAGCAAGCGCGCGTGCATGGCTTGGCTCTCTGCCGCGCTCGATAAAGCACGTGCTTACTGACTTGTCAATCCTGCTTTCTTATGTGAAGCAGCTGTGTGAGTATGTGCTTCCACCTTTTATTATTGTTATTCTTATTATTATTATTCGACTGTATAGGAATGTGCCTTTACGTATTGGCTTTCACATTGCATCTCCTCCTTCCATTCCGCATCATCGTTTTGTTGCCCTCACCATGCCCAACATGCAGCACCTGCTCGACTCCCTGGGCGCCGTGCCCATCCTGGGGCGGTTCTATGTGGACTACAACCTCACCCGCTTCCTGCACTCGCCACAGCTGCACCACATATTGGTGAGATTCCGGGTTAAGGTTTAGTTTGGGTTTAGAGTGGGGGGAAGGAGGGAGAGCGGGAGGAGGAGGAGAGTGCGGGAGGGAAGGAGGGAGGCAGGGAGGAGGGAGGGGGGGAGGGAGGGAGGGAGGCAGGGAGGTAGGGAGGCAGGGAGGCAGGGATGCAGGGAGGCAGGGAGGCAGGGAGGTAGGGAGGCAGGGAGGCAGGGAGGCAGGGAGGCAGGGAGGGAGGGAAAGAGTGGGAGGAAGGGTGTTCTCGCGGGGTTCTAGTCAAAAGCTCAGCCCGACAGCTCTCCAACCATGCATCTGGTTATGCTTGAGAACTCTCAAAACCCTTTTCTTTCCCTCCACGCCTGACAGACAAGCACCACCTTACCCTCCTTACCCTCCCCCCTCTCTCCCTCCCCTCTTTCCCTCCCATTCCCGTGATTCCCCAAACCCTCCCACCCCCCTTTCCCCCCACCCCCACAGAGCTACACGGACCCGTACTTCTTCCGGGAGCGCCTCAGCATGCCCAAGCTGCTCATCGCCGCCTCCAACGACGAGTTCTTCTCCATGGATGACTCGTGCGTGCCACATGGATGACTCGTGCGTGCCACATGGATGACTCGTGCGTGCCACATGGATGACTCGTGCGTGCCACATGGATGACTCGTGTGTGCCACATGGATGACTCGTGCGTGCCACATGGATGACTCGTGCGTGCCACATGGATGACTCGTGCGTGCCACATGGATGACTCGTGCGTGCCACATGGATGACTCGTGCGTGCCCCATGGATGACTCGTGTGTGCCACATGGATGACTCGTGCGTGCCACATGGATGACTCGTGCGTGCCACATGGATGACTCGTGCGTGCCCCATGGATGACTCGTGTGTGCCACATGGATGACTCGTGCGTGCCACATGGATGACTCGTGCGTGCCACATGGATGACTCGTGCGTGCCACATGGATGACTCGTGCGTGCCACATGGATGACTCGAGCGTGCCACATGGATGATGCGTGCGTGCCACATGGATGACTCGTGCGTGCCACATGGATGACTCGTGCGTGCCACATGGATGACTCGTGCGTGCCACATGGATGACTCGTGCGTGCCACATGGATGACTCGTGCGTGCCACATGGATGACTCGTGCGTGCCCCATGGATGACTCGTGCGTGCCACATGGATGACTCGTGCGTGCCACATGGATGACTCGTGCGTGCCCCACGGATGACTCGTGCGTGCCACATGGATGACTCGTGCGTGCCACATGGATGACTCGTGCGTGCCACATGGATGACTCGTGCGTGCCACATGGATGACTCGTGCGTGCCACATGGATGACTCGTGCGTGCCACATGGATGACTCGTGCGTGCCACATGGATGACTCGTGCGTGCCCCACGGATGACTCGTGCGTGCCACATGGATGACTCGTGCGTGCCCCACGGATGACTCGTGCGTGCCACATTGATGACTCGTGCGTGCCACATGGATGATTCGTGCGTGCCACTTGGATGACTCGTGCGTGCCACATGGATGACTCGTGCGTGCCACATGGATGACTCGTGCGTGCCACATGGATGACTCGTGCGTGCCACATGGATGACTCGTGCGTGCCACATGGATGACTCGTGCGTGCCACATGGATGACTCGTGCGTGCCACATGGATGACTCGTGTGTGCCACATGGATGACTCGTGCGTGCCACATGGATGACTCGTGCGTGCCACATGGATGACTCGAGCGTGCCACATGGATGATGCGTGCGTGCCACATGGATGACTCGTGCGTGCCACATGGATGACTCGTGCGTGCCACATGGATGACTCGTGCGTGCCACATGGATGACTCGTGCGTGCCACATGGATGACTCGTGCGTGCCACATGGATGACTCGTGTGTGCCACATGGATGACTCGTGCGTGCCACATGGATGACTCGTGCGTGCCACATGGATGATTCGTGCGTGCCACTTGGATGACTCGTGCGTGCCACATGGATGACTCGTGCGTGCCACATGGATGACTCGTGCGTGCCACATGGATGACTCGTGCGTGCCACATGGATGACTCGTGCGTGCCACATGGATGACTCGTGCGTGCCACATGGATGACTCGTGCGTGCCACATGGATGACTCGTGCGTGCCACATGGATGACTCGTGCGTGCCACATGGATGACTCGGGCGTGCCACATGGATGACTCGTGCGTGCCACATGGATGACTCGGGCGTGCCACATGGATGACTCGTGCGTGCCACATGGATGACTCGTGCGTGCCACATGGATGACTCGTGCGTGCCACATGGATGACTCGTGCGTGCCACATGGATGACTCGTGCGTGCCCGTCCCCTTTAGTGCATGTCCGCATAGCCTTAAGGATGACTCGCGAGTCGCTGCTTGCTGCCCCATGCACGGCTCGTGAGTTTCTGCTTGCTGCTGCATGGGGGAACCGTGAGTGCCCAATGGACGACTCGTGATTGCCCAATGTCACGGCACTTGTGCACATCCTCAGGCTAAATGGTAACAGTTGCTTGCTGCTTTGTTTCTTAGTGTTTTAACATGCGTGTGTGCATCAACATGCCACGCACACGTTTTACTCGCTTCTCAAACACTCTGTTTGTGTCGCCCCTGTTGGCTCCATTTGCACGCAGCCATCTACCACAAACACCCTCCCATCGTGGGTGCGCCCGGCCCCGGCAGGTACTTCTATTTCAACGACCTGCCACCGCCCACGCTGTTCAAGATGGTGGCCAACCTGGACCACATGGTCATCCAGAAGTCCTACTGGGTACGCCCTTACTCTTCAACCCTCACCTCTCTCACGGCAATAGGTATTGTCTTGTGTTTTGAGACTTCTGGCTTTGGTCATCCGCACTTCCTCTTCTCTCTTCTCGCCTTCAAAGTCGCTACCTCCTTGTCACCCACGCCACCCTTCCTGTAGACTAATCTGGCTGCCATTTGAATAGACACAGCTAGTCCTAACTGCTAGCCCTGCCTTTCGTCTGCTACCACTAACTGCTGCTGCTAGTCCAGCTCTTTGCCTTTATGCCGTTGTCACCCAACAACACCCCCCCCTCCCCCCCCCCCCCTCCCCACCTCCCCCACCACCCCCCCCTCCCCCCCCTCTTCCTTATTATGTTGTTGTCTCCTACCACCCAACCTTTCAGGCCTATGATGCGTCCATCTCCTTCCTCTCCTCTCTCCTCCACGTCAACTCCTCCTGTTTCTCTCTCCCCGCCTCCTCCCGCCCCTCCCTCACCTGGACGCGCCCCACCACGCCCACCCCCTTCTCCCTCATTCCCCAGACCACCCCCACCTCGTCAGACTCCCCTTCCTCTCACACCCCTCACACCCCTCACAGCCCTCAGCCGTCCAGTCTCTCAGACGCAGAGGCAGCAGCAGTGGGGGCAGCAGTGGCAGCAGCACAGAACCCCCCTTGGGAGTGTGTTCCTGAGCTGCCAGCTGTTAATTGGCCGCGGCTGAGGTGGCGGTTTGATTGGCCCACGTTCACCATCCATGCCACGTCAGACAGGAAACCTACGTTGGCAGATACGAGTATCACGTATAATACGCTAGCGTATTATACGCTGGGTATATACGCGGTACGCTAGGGGTGGCGTCCTGGTGATACGTAAAAATACGCCGGGCGGGCAGGTAAAACCTTTTTCCCGGGCAGGGCTAAAAAAACCTGTTTCAGGGGGGCGGGTTATGTTTCCCAAAAACACATGTTTTTTAATTTCATAATTATCCAGAGATACATCTTTGGGGCTACTTCTCCCCACTCCATACATCCCCACCCCACCCTCTAGCTAGCCTCCACACAGCCGAGTTCCTTGCGGGGCTTTTCCAACACCACCCCTGCCCCATACTCATCCGCCAGAACTGCATCCTCTCCTTCCCCCCCCAGGGTGATATGCGACTGCGCGGTAACAAATCGCCAAGTCGCAAAACCTTCGTGAAATTTTTCAATTTCGATTTTTTTTTTTTCGGCGGGCTGCCCGGGCGTATTTCCAAGAAATACGAGCGTATTAGCGTACCACGTATATACGCAAGCGTATATACGTGGTACGCAACCCTGCCCAGGGCGTATCTGCCAACGTAGCAGGAAACCATTGGCGGTTAGAGCATGGTGCGAGATGGGGAGGGGAATGGGTAGGGTGATATAGGATGGGGATGGGTACAGGGAATACAGGGGGGATGGATACGTGGAGAGGAGTGCAGAACTAGTGGGAATGGAAGGTGCTGGACTCTCAGAAAGCTAGGGAAATTGGCTAGATTTGATTTTCCCCGTTATACTAGCCACCAAAACACTGCCCAGCATGGTGGGGAAAGGTAGTGAAAGTCGGCCTGGCTGAAAGGCCCGCCCATCTCTGGCCTGGCTGAAAGGCCCGCCCATCTCTGGCCTGCTGGCTTATGCTTCAAGTGTTATAGTCACAATAGGCTTGAATGTGCCTAAAACGAAAGATAGAGAGCACAGACGGATTTCTGCACAGCGGCTTCAAACGTTGATAGCGTTCTGCTCACAGCTGCAAATGACTTGATTCAAATTGGATCTGGAGCGTCTTCACGTCGTCTACAATTAGCAATTTAGATTGCACGATTTGATAAAGAATTGACGACACAGCGTCGGTTTGAACGAACGGTACTATGGCAGCCACTATAGTCTTAGAACACAAGATAGGAAGAGTTACGAGTTGGGAATGACTCCCAGCTCCTACAAACCCCAAGAGCCGAGGTACAGTGATGTGGAACAGTGCCACACTGTCCCCAACCACGAAGGGTCTCGAAACTACCCTTCAGTAGGGCCTACACCAAGTGAAATGTTACACTACACAAAGTAATGTAACTATCTTCAATATCTTGAGGTTTACCCTTTTGGCAAGCTTCGAAATCACTTGAGGCTTGACACCAAGGCTCGGGCTCTTCATCACAAACTCATCCTTGAGTTCTTGATGGGTCTGCTGCACACACCTGCGACACGCCGAACGTTCGACACAGGACAAAATAGAAACCGCGCACGACAAAATAGAAACCGCGCGCGAGACACAACCGACCGCGTAACACGCGTCTAGCGATAACTCGCTATTGACTCGACACACACACTCGACATCATGACTCAACATTCACACACAATTATAAGCATGAAATATATATTATCCCATGCCCTCATACCATTCCATACACACACATATTCACGCACACGGACAACAAGCCGAGTGCAAACCGTAGGGTTGCACCAACATCAAGCAGGCAGTCAAGGAAGGGGCTGCGTGGATCGAGGGGCTGCTGGCTCGACGAAGCGCTGCAAGGAAGCGCCTCGGCTCTGGACCTCGTGGATGTGAATTACGTGGCTGTGAATCACGTGGCTGTGAATCACGTGGCTGTGAATCACGTGGCTGTGAATCACGTGGCTGTGAATCACGTGGCTGTGAATCACGTGGCTGTGAATCACGTGGCTGTGAATCACGTGGATGTGAGTCACGTGGCTGTGAATCACGTGGCTGTGAATCACGTGGCTGTGAATCACGTGGCTGTGAATCACGTGGCTGTGAATCACGTGGCTGTGAATCACGTGGATGTGAATTACGTGGCTGTGAATCACGTGGCTGTGAATCACGTGGCTGTGAATCACGTGGCTGTGAATCACGTGGATGTGAATTACGTGGCTGTGAATCACGTGGATGTGAATCACGTGGCTGTGAATCTCGTGGCTGTGAATCACGTGGCTGTGAATCACGTGGATGTGAATCACGTGGCTGTGAATCACGTGGCTGTGAATCACGTGGCTGTGAATCACGTGGCTGTGAATCACGTGGCTGTGAATCACGTGGCTGTGAATCACGTGGCTGTGAATCACGTGGCTGTGAATCACGTGGCTGTGAATCACGTGGATGTGAGTCACGTGGCTGTGAATCACGTGGCTGTGAATCACGTGGCTGTGAATCACGTGGCTGTGAATCACGTGGCTGTGAATCACGTGGCTGTGAATCACGTGGATGTGAATTACGTGGCTGTGAATCACGTGGCTGTGAATCACGTGGCTGTGAATCACGTGGCTGTGAATCACGTGGATGTGAATTACGTGGCTGTGAATCACGTGGATGTGAATCACGTGGCTGTGAATCTCGTGGCTGTGAATCACGTGGCTGTGAATCACGTGGATGTGAATCACGTGGCTGTGAATCACGTGGCTGTGAATCACGTGGCTGTGAATCACGTGGCTGTGAATCACGTGGCTGTGAATCACGTGGCTGTGAATCACGTGGCTGTGAATCACGTGGCTGTGAATCACGTGGCTGTGAATCACGTGGCTGTGAATCACGTGGATGTGAATCACGTGGCTGTGAATCACGTGGCTGTGAATCACGTGGCTGTGAATCACGTGGCTGGGAATCACGTGGCTGGGAATCACGTGGCTGGGAAGCACGTGGGTGGGAATCACGTGGCTATGAATCACACTGCTGTGAGTCACATCATTCCCATGCCCCACCTCTCTGCCGCTGCAATGCAGGACTGGGCGCACAAGGCCGGGCAGCAAGCGGCGGGACTTCAGGTTCATTGTCAAGCAGGGGCTCACCGGGTGGTGAGTGCAGGGCAGGGGAAGGTGGTAGGGTGGTGAGTGCAGGATGGTGAGTGCGGTGCAGGGGAGGAAATGGGTCCCGAGGCTCAGTTGAATGGTGGATGAATGTGCTGGTTCGAATAGGCCTTCAAATCTCCTGCTTCGTATTCTTCGCCAAGCAGGGGCTCACCAGGTGGTGAGTGCAAGGAAGATGGTGAGTGGATAGCTTGGTGGAAATGACTCGTGTTTGATATTTATATTTTGTCTAAACTCCAGTGTCAAGTTATTTCGGTAGGTGGTCAATGTGCAGGTGGTCCATGTGTAGGTGGTCCATGTGTAGGTGGTGTTACACCTGGTAACAAATCTGCCCGTGTGTGATCATTGCCGTGTGAGTGAGCAAATGGGGGTTCTCTCCTCTACCCTTACCTCTCCATTCATCTCCACCCCTCCTCCCCTCCTCCTTGCCAGCACGGTGCCATTCAAGAGTGCGCCAGGCAGCTACATAGGCAAGTTCGGCACGCTCTGTGTGCAGCCCATCCCGTTCCTCCTGCACACCGTCTCGCCGCCCGCGCTGCAACCTGATGGGCTCTGGTACTTCAATTCCTCCATCAGAGACATTCCCAAGGTGAGTGTGATCAAGTGTGATTGCGTGTGGTGAAGGGAATAAGTGCAATGAAGTTTTTTTTTTTTACGGAGTGCGTCTTAGGGCGTGTTACATTTTTCGATTTCCATGGTCCGTACTGTCCGCCGTCCGGACACACGCGGCCGCCGTACGCATGGATCGTGTCCGTTCGTTTGCCAGACTGTCCTAACGAGCAGTGATATGATTGACGGGCGAGAAACAGGTACGAAATTGATTTACCCAATCACAATTGCTGCCGCTCGGAAACCTACTGAGCGCAGCCAATTGCACAAATTGATAACATTGAGCAGAGTTGCGCGACTCGAAGTACATCGAACGAACGATGAAAGAGCACTGGAAATGCTAAATCGAACCAAACGGAAAATCGTACTAGCACAGAGTGGACTCCTCTAGTTCTCGATTGTAACTAGGAACCCATCGAAACCCCTGACAACCCCCCGCCACCGAACCTCGGTGCACCTGCAATTTCTTTTCCGAGTCGCGTTGTGGGCCTCGTGAAAGTTGCGATATTATGTTGATCATGTTACAAGTGTACAATATTTGAAATACAGAAAGTTCCACAATCACCGTCTGGACAAGGCACGGTCCGAACGTATGCCCCGTTCCTTCCGTATGCGCTATTAGTACCGTACAGGGAAGATCGTCTGGACAAATGCCCACAAACAAAACGTAAGACGCCCTTATGGGGAATCGCTTCCAAGTAAGCTGTGACATGGCAAGGAGGTCTCCCATGAGGGAGGCGCAGCAAGTGATGCGCTGCTTCAGCTACTATTCTGTTCATACCTTCGGTGGCTTTCCAGCTGTGATGTAGTTTCAAACAACCTGGTTCTTCTAATTCCCTACCAGATGATGCTATATCCTGCCCTTAACCATCCTATATGCTTTCACAGTCCAGCGCCCACTTCCTCTGCTTGTTTTATCGAATGTTCCTTATATGCCTTGACCCTTCGTTCTCACCATGGCCATAGCCTTGTTTCACCTGGATGCAAGTTTCCCACATTTTACGCTGTTCTCTCCGTTGTGCTCTTGTGCACAGGTGGGATATCGAGCACTGTTTATTGAAGTTGATTTCAAGCACGGACCCTACCATAAGCCCTTCGTTCTCACCACTGAATCCATGATAGCACCAAATACATTTCCATTTGCCCCATGCAATAGCACTGCTTGCTTGACTGAATTTGCATGACTTTGCTATCAGGTTTTTCCTGGCGTTGTGACAACAAATGTAATCAAACAATATGCACTCACCGATTCGGCAGATACCGTATCATCCCGGATATAAGCGCAGGCGCGCTTATGTTAGAATCACTAGCTAGGTGAGGAATGATGATTAGGTAAGGGAGAGGGAGTACAAGAGTGTCGAGAGAATTGGGTTGTACCCTCTAAGGGATGACCCCTACACAACCTAGAGTGAAATAGACATAACTCAATGTTTTGACACACCCCCATAGGTGAAGTAGGGGATAGCCAAACCTAACAGTGGTCACAAAACCAGTCAAGCAAGAGAACAAGCAAAGAAAAGCTCAGAGTGGATCTCAAGGACACCACACAATCAGAGCACAAGCAAGCGGCCACAAGGCCAGTTCACATGCAGAGTTATAATAGCAAGGCAGTACATTGATCACAACCTAGCAAGAGTAAACATGCAGGTATAAATATATATAGCAGTGTACAACAAGAGCAAGTCAAGCAACCACCAGGTGAGGTAGAGTGGGCACAAGCCCAAGAGCAGTGCAGAAACGCTGATGATCACCAGCCCCAAGGGCCTTGGTGAAGACATCAGCAGTGTTGGCCCGAGAGGCCACGAAAGCAAGGCGCAGCTGACCACGCTGCTGCAGCTCACGCGCAAGGAAGTAGCGCAGAGCAATGTGCTTCGTTCTGTGCTCCAGTCTCTGCTCGCGACACAAGGCAAGCATTGCCTTGTTGTCGACGTACAGAACCGGAGGAGAACGAGGCCGCTCCCCCAAGTCGGTCAGCAGGTAGGTCAGCCAGCGGAGCTCCTGTGCAGCCATGGCCCCAGCGTAGATCTCGGCCTCACAGCTGGAACCAAGCACAGAAGAAGAACGAGTGGACCTCCACGAGACAGAACCAGAGCCAAGACTGAAGGTGTAACCCTGTGACGAACGCTGAGTCGCCTGGTCGTCGGCCCAAGAAGCGTCAGAGTGTCCTGTGAGGACCACCAAACCCCGTCCTCCAAGCACGAGCCCCATGCTCGATGTGCTGCACAAGTAACGCAGTACCCTCTTCGCAGCATCAAAGTGCACCTTTCGGTGTCTACCGGGTGCCACGTAGCGAGCCAGAAGGCTGAGAGGGTACGCGAGGTCAGGTCGTGTGCACGTCATCAGGTACATGAGGCAGCCCACAAGCTCTGGGTACGGACCACTCGGCTCTACGGACTCGTCCGAAGGTGGAGCTGAGAGCGAGTGGCCGGTAGATAGAAGAGTGGGCTGTGGCGAGGACCACGTGAAGCCGAAGCGCTGAAGGACCTGGTGCACCATGTGTGACTGAGTCAGGGTGATGGTGCGCCGTGGTCTGTCCCGGGTGATCTGCAAGCCAAGATAGCTCCGCAGCTCACCCAGCTCCGCCTTCACTAGGGCCAGTGCCTCAGTGTCAGCAGTAGCAAAAACCAAGTCGTCGACGTACACGAGGATGTAGAACGGCGGCAGAGTAGTGTCGGTGCGTAGAAACAGCGACGGGTCAGCATTCGAAGGAGCAAACCCAAGAGCCGCAAGTGTCGTCCTCAGTGTGTCGTGCCACTCGCGGGGCGCCTGACGCAAGCCGTACACTGGTCGCCGTAGGCTCCACTGGGTACCCTCAGGAAACGACCCAGTGAAGCCCTGTGGACGGCGCAACCAGATGGCCTCGTGAAGGCTACCCTGCAAGAAAGCTGTCGAGAAGTCGAGGGAGTGCAGCTCGTAGTCACGCTGAGCTGCAACGTGTAGCAACACCCGAAGAGTGGTCATCTTCGGGGTGGGGGAGAAGGTCTGAAAGAAGTCGACCCCCTCACGCTGACTGAAGCCTCGAGCAACGTAACGTGCCTTGAAGGCAGGCGGAGAACCCGGCGGCCGCTTCACCCTGAAAATCCACATGCCACTGACGATGTTCGCCCCAGGAGGGGGAACCTCGTCGACGTAGGTGCCTGTGGACTTCTAGGAAGCCATCTCTGCGTCCATGGATGTCAGCCACTGAGAGGAGTACTCACCCGAAATCGCCTCCCTGTAGGAGCGCGGGGTGGGGATGTCAAGTGCATCCGGGTCTCCCTCAGGGGCAAGCAGCATGGTCGCGTGATGGGGTGAAGCGGCAGCAAGGCACTCCAGCTCCTCCTGTCTGTCCTCAAGAACGTCACAGCCAAGGGCAGTGCAGCCAAGAGCAGTCTCACCCCCGACGGACGGAGGACAGGCAGGGACAGGGTCAGAGACAAGACTCGCAAGGTAGTCGAGGCGGTACACGGCAGCAAAGTCAACGAGCTCAGCTACTAGGGTAGACGGAGGGTCAGCAACGTCAGGCAAAGAGGACGCATGAGGTAATGGTAGGACAACACGCTGAGGAACAGAGGAAGGACGGAGTGTCATATCGTGAGTGCCGGGGACAGCCGGAGCACGCTGACGACGAACACGAGGAACACGAGCACGGACAGCAGCTCTAGGCTCAGTCTCAAGGTCAAAGCTAGACTCAGGCTCTCGACGCTCAGGGGTGGAAGCACGAGTCTCAGGCTCTCGACGCTCAGTCAGGGAATCTGACACCGCAGTGTAAGGAGCAGGAGCAGGCAGTGGGGAGTGTGGTAGTAGCGGCGGCTGTGACTAGTCCGCCGGTGGACACAGCAACGGAGGAGTAGTACCTGCCACAGGGAAGCCAGTAGCACCTTGCTGAAGACTGAGAAGGTGGCGAAGAGCACCAGTAGCTCCACCAAGACCTCCAGCACCTCCAGCACCTCCAGCCCCAGCAGCTCCAGCTCCTCCAGCACCAGCAGCTCCGGCAGCTCCACGACCTCCAGCACCAGCAGTACCTCCAGTACCTCCAGCACCAGCAACTCCACGACCTCCAGCACCAGCAGCACCTCCAGTACCTCCCGCACCAGCAGCTCCACCAGGACCAGCAGCACCTGCAGCTCCCCGACCTCCAGCACCAGCAGCACCTCCAGTACCTCCAGCACCTCCAGGACCTCCAGCACCAGAAGCACCTCCAGGACCTCCAGCACCACCAGTACCTCCAGTACCTCTAGCACCAGTAGCTCCAGGTCCTCCGGTAGGAGCTCCGACGACACCAACACCAGAAGGACTCGCAGCACCCCCAGAGTCAGCACCCGAACTCGCAGCACCCCCAGAGGCAGGACCCTCGGTCTCAGCACTCGCAGGCTCAGTACCCTCAGTCGCAGCACCCTCAGGCCCAGTACCCTCAGTCCCAGCACCCCTAGGCTCAGTACCCTCAGTCCCAGCACCCCCAGGCTCAGTACCCTCAGTCCCAGCACCCCCAGGCTCAGTACCCTCAGTCTCTGCTCCAGTGTCCACAGCAGCAGGCTGCAGAGGCGGCGAAGACGGCAGAGGTGGGAACCCGGGGGGTGTAGCCAGACGAGGAGAGCGGGCACCCCCGGACTCACCACCCGCAGCCCCAGCTCCAGTAGTCTCAGCTCCAGAGTCCACAGCAGCAGGCTGCGGAGGCGGCGAAGACGGCCGTGGCGGGAAACCCGGGGGGGTCTCCAAGCGAGGAGTGCGGCGAGTGGTCGCCGTGTCGTCGGCGACGGCGTCACCCCCCTCAGGTGAGTTAGAGGAGTCAGAAGAGATCTCAACTGGTTCATCCAAGGGGGGTAAGGTCTACCTGAGACACACCTGAGGGAGCAGGACCCTGTGGGGGAAGGGGGTCTACCGGGGGGGGGACTGGTACCAGGAAGAGAGGTGCGAGAGGGACCGGGTGGGACGCGTGCGGGTGAAGTCGGTAGTAACAGACCGACTCATCAAAGGTGACATCCTGAGAGGACAGAACACGACGCGAGGCAGGGTGGTAGAACTGCCAGGGTGGAGCGTCGGTGGGGAAGCCCAGGAAGACACAGCGGAGAGTGCGAGGAGAGAGCTTGCTCGCTTTGGTATCGCGAACAAGGGAGAGCGCGCCCCAGACCCGAAACGACGACGCATCACCAGGCTGTCCCGTCCAACGGAGTGTGGGCGAGGTCTCTGGAGCAGAGACACGGGGCCAGAGGTTGAGCTGATGCGCGGCGTATCGGACCGCAAACGGCCACAGGAAATGGGGAGCAGCCGCATGGATCATGGAGGTACGAGCAACCTCCATGATCAGGCCAATGCGACGCTCAGCGATCCCATTTTGCTGCGGAGAGGCCGGAAGCGTGAACGACTGGGCGATGCCCTCATCCTGGCAGAACGTCTCAAGGACGCCAGAGGAGAACTCACCACCCCTGTCAGAGTGCAGACGCAGGACTGGAAAGTCCCGCCGAAACCGCTCGCGCAGCTGGTGACGAGTAGCATGGATCCATGGGATCAAGACACCACTGACATCCGCCTTGCGCCGCAAGGGGAAGACTGTGGTGTAGCGTGTGTAGTCGTCAACCACTAGCAGGAAGTAGCGCTCCTGACGCAGACGCTCGACTCGACGTAGCTACCTGACCTGACTCAGCCACCTGTGCAGACGCAGTGGTCAGTGTGTACAGACTAGACCCAGGCTGTCGAGTGAACGTAGCCAGGTGACGGCCAGTCCGGGAGCACGTACAGATCGCCACACGCTGCCCTCCAGGAATAAAGGTATCAACCCAGACATCCTGAATGGCAGCGTTGCTCACCAAGTTCGTCGAGAACGTGGGGAGGTGGAGACCTGACAAAGAGTCGGAGGGGACTGCTGGACAAGGGAGGACCGTGGAGGCTCTCGCAACCACTGGGCCCCCAGAGGGGTCAGCCAGTGAGACTGGGACAGGTGCTGTGAGTGGTGTGACTGTGGTGCAATCACGGAAGAAGCAACGTGACGCGCCGGAGTCAAGCGTGAAAGTGTGCAAGACCTCAGCTGAGGCAGGACCTGTGGCAGTAGACGCACTAGCAACTAGAGCGTCGGTAGACTCACGGGCACCTAGAGCTGCAGCAGACTCACTAGCACCTGGAGTGGCAGCAGACTCACTAACACCTAGAGTGGCAGCAGACTGACTAATACCTGGAGTGGCAGCAGACTCACTAACACCAAGAGCAGCGGTCTTAACAGAACGATAACCTCCACCACCAGGACGACCTCGCTGAATAACCCACTCACGAAGCTGCCGAGGGGTGGGGTCGTCCGGGAGAAGCAGTTCCCGCTGCTGTCCACCCCTGGCCGCAGCGACTGCTGCGGAGGTGGCCATGACAGACAGTGACTGTCAGGAGTAGGTCCAGCACCTCCAGCTCCTACAGCGCCAGCAGCACCTCCTACACTCCCAGCAGCACCTCCTCCACTCCCAGTAGCACAAGTAGCAGCAGCAGCAGTAGTAACAGCAGCAGGGTGGTTCGGTGGGGTTGGGAGGCCGCACCTCCACCACTCCCAGCAGTACTCCCTCCAGTAGCAGCAGTAGCAGGGCGGCTCGGGCAGCAGCAGCAGATCGAGCAGCAGCAGCAGCAGCAGTAGACCGAGTAGCACTAGATGTAGCAGTAGTAGTTGCAGTAGCAGCAGCAGTGACAGCTCGGGCTGGGCGGCGCGGCTCGGACACAGTGGCAGAGCAGCAGTAGCACTAGCTGTAGCAAGTGCAGTAGTAGGAGCTGCAGCAGTAGCACTAGCTGTAGCAAGTGAAGTAGTAGGAGCTGCAGCAGTAGTACTAGCTGTAGCAGCAGTAGCTTCAGTCAAGCAGCAGTAGCTTCAGTCAGGAGTAGCTGTAGCAAGTGCTGGAGTAGGAGCTGCAGCAGTAGCACTAGCTGTAGCAAGTGAAGTAGTAGGAGCTGCAGCAGTAGTACTAGCTGTAGCAGCAGTAGCTTCAGTCAGGAGCAGCTGCAGTAAGTGCTGGAGTAGGAGCTGCAGCAGTAGCACTAGCTGTAGCAGAAGTAGCTTCAGTCAGTAGCAGCTGTAGCAAGTGCAGAAGTAGGAGCTGCAGCAGTAGCACTAGCTGTAGCTGGAGTAGCTTCAGTCAATAGTAGCTGTAGCAAGTGCTGGAGTAGGAGCTGCAGCAGTAGCACTAGCTGTAGCAGCCGTAGCTTCAGTCAGTAGCAGCTGTAGCAAGTGCCGTAGTAGCAGCAGCAGCAGTAGCACTAGCTGTAGCAGCACTAGCTTCAGTAGCAGCAGCAGTGAGTAGTGCTAGCTGTAACAGGAGTAGCGTCAGTAGCAGCAGCAGTGAGGAGGAGCAGCAGTAGCAAGGAGGAGCAGCTGCAGCAAGTAGTAGCAGCAGCAGCAAGGAGGAGCAGCTGCAGCAAGTAGCAGCAGCAGTTGCAGGGCAGTACAGGCGGCAGCAGCACTGCAGCAGCAGTTCAGGCGCAGCAGTGTAGCAGCAGCAGCAACGAGTGCAGCAGTAACACGGGCCGCGTGCGGGCCAGGCGCGGGCTGTAAGGGCTGCGTGCGGGCCTGGCGCGGGCTTTACGAGCTGGGTGCGGGCCTGACGTGGGCTGTACGGGCTGCGCGACGGCCTGGCGCGGGCTGTACGGGCTTCGCGACGGGCCTACGCGGGCTGTATGGGCTTCGCGACGGGCCTACGCGGGCTGTACGGGCTTCGCGACGGGCCTACGCGGGCTGTACTGGCAGCTAGGGCGCGGTCAGGGGGGGGTCGCACGTGACTAGGAAGGAAAATCGCGTCTAGGGAAGAAAAAGGAACCGTCTCGCCTAGAGCACGGTTTCGAATTTCGCGTTTCTCCTAGGGGCGCGACTCGGGCAGTAGATCGAAATAGTAGTGGTGGGCCCTTTTAAAAATTCGGTCCTAAGGAGCATTGTGCTCTTAATACCATGTTAGAATCACTAGCTAGGTGAGGAATGATGATTAGGTAAGGGAGAGGGAGTACAAGAGTGTCGAGAGAATTGGGTTGTACCCTCTAAGGGATGACCCCTACATAACCTAGAGTGAAATAGACATAACTCTATGTTTTGACAGCTTATAATAAAATAGTGATTTTTAGGGGGGTGCGCTTATAATTGAGTCAGGTTTATAAGCGCATGCGCTTATAAAATGACAATTACATAAATATGTTTTAAAGCAGAAGTATACATTTGGCAGGGGAAAGGCCAACAGTTTAGAAAAGGTACATGATGGTAACCAAATTACAGGGGCTCACGCCTTCTGACACTCACGCGTCAAAAGTTTATACCTAGCCAAAAGTATACTGAAGGACATGCCTCCTCGCCACTATCCCCACACCTACAGCGTTCTTAGTAGTCATCACTAAATGAAGGTAACTTCCAAAGCACTGCAAGCCATTAAGATTACAGCACATCTCACGCTTAGGTCATATGCCGACAGAGCCATTGTAAATTTACCGGCGCCTAATACAGGGAGCATTTCGCATCTAAAGTGAGAAAACGAAATGGCGGCGCCTTAGCCATTCCCTTTTCTGCGGCCCGATTCCCCTTCGCGGAAGGCCAGATTACCCTTTCCTGACGCCTGGTTCCCCTTTCCGCCGCCCCGTTTCCCTTTCCGGCCGCCACGAAACCCCATCCACGCTGCCCGAATCCCCTTCCCGCCGCTCGACACCCTGTTTAGGCCGCCCGATTCCCCTTCATGCCTCCCGATTCTTCTTTCTCGCCGGCCGGTTCGCTTTCCCGTCGCCCTACTCCCCTTCCCGTTGCCCGAATCACGTTCCCGCCGCCCGGTTCCCCTTTCCCGCCGCCCGAATCCCCTTCCACGCTGCCTGAATCCCCTTTCCCGCCCATTGATTCCGTGCGGGCCTCCCGACCGCCGCGTCCCGCCGTCCGATTCCCCTTTCGCGCCGCTGGAATCCCGTTTCCGCCGCCTGATTCCCGTTCCCGCCGCCCGCTTCCCCTTTCCCACCGCCCGATGCGCCTTCCCGCCGCCCGATTCCCATTTTCCGCCGCCAGACTCCCCTTCCCGCCTCCCTATTCCCCTTTCCGTCGCCCGACTCCCCCTCCCTCCCTTCCCTCCCTTCTCTCCCGTCCCTCCCTTCTCTCCCTTCCCTCCCTTCTCTCTCTTCCCTACCTTATCTCCTTTCCCTCCCTTCTCTCCCGTGCCTCCCTTCCCTCCCTTATCTCCCTTCCCTCCCTTCTCTCCCGACCCTCCCTTCCCTCCAATCCCTCCCTTCCCTCCAATCCCTCTCTTCTCACCCGTCTCTCCCTTCCCTCCCATTCTCCCTTCCCTCCCTTCCCTCCCTTCTCTCCCTTCTCTCCCATCCCTCCCTTCCCTCCCATCCCTCCCTTCCCTCCCTTTCTCCCTTTCCTCCCTTCCCTCCCTTCCCTCCCTTCCCTCCCTTCCATCCCTTCTCTCCCTGCTCCATCTCTCCTTTCCCTCCCGTCTCTCCCGTCCCTGCCTTCCCTCCTTCCCTCCCTTCCCTCCCTTCCTCCCCTTCACTCCCTTCCGGCCTTGCCCTCCCTTCTCTCCCTTCCCGCCCTTCTCTCCCCCCCTACCTTCTCTCCCTTTACTCCTTTCCCTCTCATCCCTAATAGCAATCTCCTGTCTCTCCCTTCTCTCCCTTCTCTCCCTTCCCTCCATTCTCTCCATTTTCTCCCCTCTCTCCCTTCCCGCCCTTCTCTCCCCCCCTTTCACCCTTTACTCCCTTCCGTCTCAACCCGACTTCCAAACTTCCGTCCCTCCCTTCCCTCCCTTCTCTCCCGTCCCTCCCTTCCCTCCTTCCCTCCCTTCTCTCCCTTCTCTCCCGTCCCTCCCTTCCCTCCCTTCGCTCCATTCTCTCCATTTTCTCCCTTCTCTCCCTTCCCATTTGTTTCTCTCCCCCCCTACCACCCTTTACTCCCTTCCATCTCATCCCTCCTTGCAATCTCCCGTCTCTCCCGTCCCTGCCTTCCCTCTTTCCCTCCCTTCTCTCCCTTCCCTCCCTTCTCTCCCTTCCCTCCCTTCTCTCCCGTCCCTCGCTTCCCTCCTTCCCTCCCTTCCCTCCCTTCCCTCCCTTCACTCCCTTCCCTCCCTTCCCTCCCTTCTCTCCCTTCCCGCCCTTCTCTACCCCCTTACCTTCACTCCCTTTTCTCCTTTCCCTCTCATCCCTAATAGCAATCTCCTGTCCCTCCCTTCTCTCTCTTCTCTCCCGTCCCTCCCTTCCCTCCCTTCCCTCCATTCTCGGCATTTTCCCCCTTCTCTCCCTTCCCTCCCTTCTCTCCCTTCCCTCCCTTCCCTCCCTTCCCTCCCTTCCCTAACTTCCCTCCCTTCCCTCCCTTCTCTCCCTGCTCTCCCATCAACCCTTTCCCTCCCTTCTCTCCCGTCCCTCGCTTCCCTCCTTCCCTCCCTTCACTCCCTTCCCTCCCTTCTCTCCCTTCCACTCTTCTCTCCCCCCATACCTTCTCTCCCTTTTCTCCCCTCCCTCTAAACCCTCCTTGCAATCTCCCGTCCCTCCCGTCTCTCCCTTCCCTCCCTTTCCCTCTCTTCCCCCCATTTCCTACCTTCCCTCCCTTCTCTCCCTTCCCTACCTTCCCTCCCTTCCCTCCCTGCTCTCCCGTCTCTCCTAACCCTCCCTTCTCTCCCTTCTCACTGGGCCACTCTTTCTCCTGCTCGTAGGGGCAAGCCGAACCTCTCCCGCCTGCCTCCTTTCCCCCTCATTCGCTCAAACCACCCCATCCCTCTACGGTGCTCCCAATCTCTCCTCCATCTGTCCCCATCTTCAGTTCCTTTGATTTCATCCATTTAGCCTCATTACGAGGCCTGCAACAGTGTTCCATGCACGTAATTCGAGCGATGTGTTCTGTTCCTTTGGAGGTGCCGCACCCTCTCCTCCCCTCCTCTGACCTTCCTTGAAACGCATCTACCTTGTCCTTTCCCCGCCGTGCAGTTTCGATACTTTGAAGTTATCGCGACCTCAGTGCTGCATGTGCGGCAGAGGGGGTGCATCAAGGAACTGTCACCCGAACCCTAAATGGCGTAGCTAGCCTTCCCGCCGCAGTGTGAGTCGGTCTGCTATCTGCACCTACCCCTTTCCAAGCCCTTCTCTCTCTGCGCCTCTCTACCCCCCCCTCCCTCTCGATGCCTCTCCCAATGCCATCCACTCCCTGCGCCGCTATGCCTGCCCTTCTCTTTCTGCGCCGCTATTCCTGCCCTTCCCTCTATATGCCTCCCTTCCTGCCCTAACCTCTCTGCCTAGAACTCCCCTTCCATACCCTCCCATCCCCTTCCATACCCTCCCATCCCCTTACATACCCTCCCATCCCCTTCCATACCCTCCCATCCCCTTCCATACCCTCCCATCCCCTTCCATACCCTCCCATCCCCTTCCATACCCTCCCATCCCCTTCCATACCCTCCCATCCCCTTCCATACCCTCCCATCCCCTTCCATACCCTCCCATCCCCTTCCATACCCTCCCATCCCCTTCCATACTCTCCCATCCCCTTCCATACCCTCCCATTCCCTTCCATACCCTCCCATCCCCTTCCATACCCTCCCATCCCCTTCCCGCCCCTCCCATCCCCTTCCATACCCTCCCATCCCCTTCCATACCCTCCCATCCCCTTCCCGCCCCTCCCATCCCGTTCCATACCCTCCCATCCCCTTCCATACCCTCCCATTCCCTTCCAGCCCCTCCCATCCCCTTCCAGCCCCTCCCATCCCCTTCCAGCCCCTCCCATCCCCTTCCAGCCCCTCCTATCCATGCGCACACCGCTGCTTCGTTTCCCTACTCACTTCACAAAGTTCCCTACTCCCTTCTTCTGTTCCCCGCCAGAAATCAGAGATGTTCTCGCGGCGACGTGGGCGTCGGCAACGGTTGTCGCTTGGTTTTAGAGTTGGTATTGAAGATGAGGAGGATGAAGATGAGGAAGGAGAGCGGCGATGGGGGGATAGCAGGACTGAATCGCGTACCGATACTCGCGGCATCTCCGTGTCTAGGGGTTCGGTGGTTGCTAGCACGTCACACCCAATTCGAACGGTTCGCCGACGAAGGGTTGTACGACCCACTGGATTGCCCCCCCAGGTCTTTTACGTGAGTGAGAGTTGGTCACCCTCCGAGTTCGCTGTACATCGTGCGAAACAGTACCATGTTCTTGTGGAGTGGGTTCGAAAGGAGCTTGGGTACGCGGAGGTGCCAAGCGGAACCGTGACCGATGTTATGCGAGTATGTTTGGGTAAAAACACAGCGGTGGATGCGCAGGGTCAACGGATACTTCCCAAAAGCCATAGTTTTCGTTGTTACATTGAATACTCTGAGTTGCGGGGGGGCCACGCTTGCGCCCATGTGACTTTGCCTTGGTTGGTCTATGTGGTAATAGGTTCGCTGTATCCTAAACCATCGGGTGAAGGCTACAAAAATTGCAGCCAGGGTGACATTGATTGGTTTGAAAAGAGAATGGGAAGTGCCTGACGAGATAGATTTTGCAACGAGGGCATTCGTGCACGGGCATATGAGTAGCAACGTGATCGGTACCGAGGAATCCAGGGTTGGTTGATCATGCTACATGTTACCAGATTGTCTAAATGTTATTACTTTACGTGTGCCACTCCTTGTTACCAGGGTTTATGATAAATATAGGGTTGGCAATGTATTACAGCAATGCACTATGTTCTGGTGCCGGTACCATGTGGGGGAACAAGGAGTTCAGAGGGGGTTATCACCAACGCACCAGCACAACCACATGAAGCACCGGCACCAGCAGTAGCACCTACAACAGCCTCAATAGCTTGGCCGATAGCAGCTGGGAGCGTGACAGGGAGGGGGTTGGGTGGGTTGGGAGAAGGGAAAAGGGTGGAAAAGAGGCAGAGACCGGGAGAAAAGAAAGGGGAGGAGGGTGAAGAGACATGCACGAGCACACAGGTGGAGAGGACAGTGAGTGACGGGTTGACGTAGGGGTAGGAAGGAGCACCGACAGGTGCGCGCAAGGAGGAGTGATGCAATAATTTTGCTGCAGGGTCCGATAACGTGCACCCAATGCATCGACTGAACGAGGCCACCACTGGCAGAACAGGGACCGCTGTTCCCTCACCAGATGACAACGGCGGGTGCTTGCAGGGAGACAAGAATGGCTAGCAAGCACCACGGCATACAGTATGGACCGGCGTGCGGTACGGTCTCTCACCAGCGTACTTAGATCCTGCCCTTGCAGCCAGCACAGTGAGAACACTAGCAGAGGAGGTGGAAGAGGAGGAAGAGGAGGAGGAAGGCGAGGAGGAGTCTCCAGGCAGAGGGCTAACCTCCCGGCAGATGGTGCCCAGATGATCAAACACCTTGCTGTAGGCGAACACGCCAGGTGGCTCGCCGTCCATCCCTGGTGGGGGGCGGAGGAGAGGGGGGCGAGTGAGTGGGGAGAGTAGAGAAGGGTGGGGGGAAGAATGGGTGTGAGGATGGAGAAGCAGGGTGGGGCTGTGTATGGGGACAGCCACGTGTGGAAGCAAGCTTCTTGTGCTCCATGTGTCACGATGCTACCATCAATCACCCCCTCCACTCACTGATCACAATCCCTACTCACTCACCACAACTCCCCTCACTGACCACCCGCCTAACTCGCTGACCACGCATGGCAGGGGGTCTTCGCTGGCGTCCTGCACGCCAGCGTTCATGGGAGTGCACGCCAGCTGATTGTTGGGTAGCACAATGTTGTGGGACGCTCCAATGAGGAACTTGTACTTGACAGATATTGAATGATTTTCAAAACCTACGCTGCACTTGTGTACTGAGCTTGTACTTACGCTGCCAGAGTACTTGTACTTGTACTTGTATATTGAAGTTGTACTTGCGCAGCAGCAAGTGCGTACCTGATGTACCTCCAAGGGGTGTTGGAGAATACTGAAGCAATGTCCGGTTGGCAGGAGGGCATTAGAGGGAAAGTGCGAGAGCTGAGTGAGAAACAAGTGAAGTGGTCTGGCGCGGCCAGAAAAGGGAGATTTGGAATCATGAATGGGTCATCGAGCGCTGCCCTATGATTGGTTGATGCCCTTGCGATCGGTCTGTATTATATTTTGCTCTCACATCGAGAACAAAAAAACAAAAACCATGCTCCCACACAACAGAACAGAACATAGAACCTCCAAAGGTCCTAAGGTTGTTTCTCAAGCCAAAGGGCACGAGATGGGTGGCTTACCAAGGGATAGGGGGCGGCGGCATAGCGGGTGAGGGTGGAGGGCAGCACGCCATCGCCACTCGCGCAGTCCCTCCATGTCGCCAGCACGGGGGTTGATACATGAGGCCAGCACGGGGGTTGATACATGAGGCCAGCACGGGGGTTGATACATGAGGCCAGCACGGGGGTTGATACATGAGGCCAGCACGGGGGTTGATACATGAGGCCAGCACGGGGGTTGATACATGAGGCCAGCACGGGGGTTGATACATGAGGCCAGCACGGGGGTTGATACATGAGGCCAGCACGGGGGTTGATACATGAGGCCAGCACGGGGGTTGATACATGAGGCCAGCACGGGGGTTGATACATGAGGCCAGCACGGGGGTTGATACATGAGGCCAGCACGGGGGTTGATACATGAGGCCAGCACGGGGGTTGATACATGAGGCTAGCACGGGGGTTTACCTGGGTGTACCCTGAGGGGAAATATGGGGCTATCACGGGGGTAAAATGGGGCTGGAAGGGGGGAAACATGGGGCCTGCCGGGAGGAAACATAGGGCCAGCAGTAGGGGGGTAACATGGGGCTAGCATGGGGGAAACCTGGGGCTAAACATGGGGATAGAATGAGGGTAACATGGGGTTAGAATGGGGGAAACATGGGGCAAGAATGGGGGTATCATGAGGCTAACATTGGGATAACATGTTGCTAGCATGGGGGGAATATGGGGCTATTAGGCGGTAAGCACGAGGGAGGGGGGGATGCGGAAGGGGGAACGCGGAAGGGGGAATGCAGAAGGGGGAACACGGAAGGGGGAACACGGAAGGGGGAATCCGGAAGGGGGAACGCGGAAGGGGGAATGGGGAAGGGGGACTGCGGAAGGGGGAATGCGGAAAGGGGAATGCGGAAGGGGGAATGCGGAAGGGGGAATGCGGAAGGGGGAATGCGGAAGGGGGAATGCGGAAGGGGGGATGCGGAAAGGGGAACGCGGAAGGGGGAATGCTTGCGGGGGAACGCGGAGAGCGGAACGCAGAAGGGGGACTGCGGAATGGGGAATGCGGAAGGGGGAACGCGGAAGGGGGGATCTGGAAGGGGGAATGCGGAAGGGGGAACGCGGAAGGGGGAATGCGGAAGGGGGATTGCGGAAGGGGGAACACGGAAGGGGGAATGCAGAAGGGGGAATGCGGAAGGGGGTTTGCGGAAGGGGGAATGCGGAAGGGGGAATGCGGAAGGGGGAATGCGTAAGGGGGAATGCGCAAGGGGGAATGCGGAAGGGGGAAGGGGTCGAAAGGGGAATGCTTCATGTATGCGACAGGGCACGACACGAGCAGGGGGCCGCTAGCTGACCTGACGCAGACGCAGACGCAGCTACTGAGGAGGCGCAGTAGTCAGTGTGTACAGACTCGACCTCGGCCGACGGGTGAACGTGGCCAGGTGCCTGCCAGTCCGGGAGCACGTACAGATCGCCACACTCTGTCCTCCAGGGGTGAAGGTATCAACCCACTGATCCTGAAGGACGGCGTTGCTCACCAAGTTCGTAGAGAACGAGGGGAGGTGGAAACGTGTCAGTGAGCCAGACGGAACCGCCAAACAAGGCAGAACAGTGGAGGAACGTGCAAGGACTGAGCCCCCAGAGGGGTCAGCCAGAAAGACAGCAACAGGTGTAGAGAGCGGTGTGACTGTGGTACTGTCGTGAAAGAAACAGCGGGAAGCATGTGAGTCAAGCGTGAAGGTGTGCAAGGCCGCAGCAGACGCAGTACCAGAGAGAGCAAACTCACTAGCACCTAGAGCAGCAGCCTCTATACCTGGGTCTGGCGGCATACACAGGTAACAGTCACCCTCAGCACTAACACTCAATGCACACATGGCAGATAGGATAGCATCATAATCAAGAGCAAAGATGTCTACACCCGGCCTAAGCAGCTCTGCCCAGCGGGGAAGCTCAGCCGCGTCGGGAAACTCTGCGCGGAAGGCGTCGGTAAGACGAGAGAAGCAGCGGTACTGGGTGTGGAGCTTCCCGCATGTCTGACCAGTGTGGTCACCTGTGCGAATGACATACGGGCAGGGACCACTACCCCCACCCGCCCCACGCTGAGCAAACCACTCACGTAGCTCCTGGGGCGAAAGCTGACGCTGTTGCTGCTGCCTCTGACCACCGCCAAGGCCTCCCCTCTGACTGGTACCACCCCGGCCGCCACCACTGCCACCGCCTCCACTCCCACTGCCGCCACCACTGCCGCCGCCACTGCCCCCGCCTCCCCTGCCCCTGCCGCTGCGGCGCCTCCCACTAGAGGCAGACGCAGCTCCTACCTCCTCAGCACGAAGGTAGTCAACAGCTGCAGCAGAGGCGACTGAGGGGAGAAGGGGGAGGGCGAACACCCCTCAAAGAAGGGAGTGCGAGGAGTGCCACGAGAAGCGCCTACACCGACTATGCCAGTCTCAGCTGCAAGGAGGTGCTTCTCGAGCAGGTCGACAGTGAGGTCGGTGGGGTCAAGGGCTAGAAGGAGGTCCTTGACAGCGCTAAGAGAGTCAGGGAAGCGGGTGACTATGAAGTAGAGAGTGATGTACATGGGAGGAGGGTTCTTGGTGAGAAACTCGGCGGGAAGCGCAGCGCGGTAGCGAGTGTCACTAGTGCGAAGGTGAGTGACGAGGTCGGCTACTGTGGCAAAGGCGGACAGCTCTGGGAACAGGTAGGGCAGGAGAAGGCGGCCTAGAGCAGCAGTGGCCGGGGAGGAGTAACGAGCGAATACAGCGTCGTACAGTGCTTTCGCTGTCTTATGCTGTCTGAAGTGAGCGCGTTCGGCTAACGGCAGGTGGTTGCGAACGGCTAGGCGAGCAGCAGCGTCACGAGTAAGCCACTGTGAGCAAGTCGCACTATCAGCTGTGGCGGTAGGGGCGACAGAGGCACCAGACGTGAGGTCAAATAGTGAAACTCCGTACTTGGAATCGCTCAGTAAGAACAGCTGTAAGTCGTCGAGCCACGCATCAAACTCTATCGGGCGGCCCTCCGGATCGAACGTGAGGACACTGAGCATGGCCATAGTGGGCAGAGCAGTCGGGCGCCCTAGCAGCAGAGCAGCACACAGGCAAGGCTAGGCAGGCGAGCGCGCTAGCAGCAGGGCAGCGCGCAGGCAAGGCAAGGCAGGGCGGCGCAGGGCGACGCAGCAGCGAGCTGCGCGCGGCAGGGCAGGGCGCGCGGCAAGGCAGGGCGCACGGCGGCGTGGCACGCAGGCAAGGCAGGACGGCGCGGCGGCGCGGCGCGCGGGCAAGGCAGGGCGCGCGGCGGCGTGGTGCGCGGGCAGGGCAGGGCGCTCGGCGGCGCGGCACGCGGGCAGGGCAGGGCGCTCGGCGGCGGGCGGCGCGAGGGTAGGGCAGGGCGCTCGGCGGCGGGCGGCGCGCGGGCAGGGCAGGGCGCGCTGCGGCGGGCGTCGCTCGGGCAGAGCAGGGCACGCGGCGACGAGCGGCGCGCGGGCAGGGCAACACGGCGGCGCGGCGCGCAGGCAGGGCGACGCGGCAGCAGGCAGGGCGCGCAAGCAGGGCGGCACGCGGGCAGGGCAGGGCGCGCTGCGGCAGGCAGCGCGCGGGTCAGCAGGGCGCGCGGGCAAGGCAGCGCGACGGCGCGCGGGCAAGCAGGGCGCGCTGCAGCAGGCGGTGCGCGGGAAAAGCAGAGCGCGCTGCAGTGGGCGGCGCGCGGGCAGGGCAGGGCGTGCGCAGGCAGCGCGACGCAGGGCAGGGCGGCGCGATCACGGCGGCGCGACGGGTGGGGTAGCGCTACTCGGTGGGCCCTAAAAAAAACGGTCCTAGGCTAGGACCTGCTCTGAAACCATGTCAGAAGAATAAACGAGAATGAATTAACTAACAGCAGGATGGGTACCCTAATTGGGTTGTACCCCATATGGGCTACCCCACTATAGCCTACACAAAATGCAGCATATAAGTTTGACATATACCCCCCAAAAAAATCAAAGTGGTTTTCTTTGAAACGTCAGCCGTGCCTAGTACCGTTATTCGTGTTGACCGATATTTGAGACCTATAGGCTCTTAACACACCTTTAATCCACACTAGGTAGTCATCACGGGGTCACCTCCAAGGGTCCTTGGGTGCCTAGTAGAACCAGCCCCTATCCAAGTGTCCGTGTTTGAAGAGGGATTTCCCTAAGTATGAAAATTATCGTGCGTACTGGAGCGTTCCCAAACTATGTTGCGCAGCGTCGACGACGAAATGGGCTTGTGTGCATAATAGCTCTTCACGTCAATACGTTGATAGAGCGACTTAACTCGCCAAGGAAATTCACAAAAGATTTCCACTAGAAAGGTTGATCACAATCAAGCACAAACACACGTTTTATATTTCGCCTAACACACATGCATATGGAAATAGCAAAGTAGTTGTAAAACTGAATTTCCGATCTTCGCCATGCTGTACTTAAAAATGGTTGCTCAACTTCTTGGACTATTGTCTTCTTCCTCCTCTTCTAAAAACCTGTATTCAAATTTCACTTGGGAAAATTGCCCCTGCTAACTCCTCACATGAACACTCATAGCTCACATGTGCCTCAAATGTGACTCACATGAGTTTCATGCGAGTTTACAGTTGAAAAACGGATGTAACCGTTGGATGACGCGAGTAACCAAATTGTACCTGTGGCGAAATCATTCCGCAACGCGGCGTGACTTTCGCGAGAAATTGCTTGTTCCGCGAGTCAACGCAGAATACAGATGTTCTTGCTTAGAGTCCACGTGAAAAACACACGCGCTGCGGGCCTTTGTGGAAAAACCCACAAACCCCGGGCAAACGGGAACTTATAGTCCCATTTCAGTAAAACTGCACGGCGAGCGGCTTTTCTTCGTTAATATTTGTTGTTTTATGTCATATACTTTCTATTCGGAACGCGTTTGCTTTAACTTCTCGTCGCACGGTTCTCCGCGTCGTTCAATATCGCATGTTTGACGGGCAGAAATAAACAAAATAATTATGTTTGAGGCCTCAATGAAAGGAATTAGTTTTTTGTTTTACCTGTAGTCGTCGAGCGCGCTAGGAACCACGCGACAGGATTTAAATCCATGCGCGGTCAAGACAAACAGACAATAACAGTTAAACATATAAATATAAAATCAAAACTTTCTTCCTTCACATTCTCCTTTACTGTTGGGCTGGTTTGGTTTGGGTCCTCTGATTGGCTGCGGAACTGATTCGTGCAAGAACCCAGCCAGGTTGCAAACTTTCCCGCCAAAAATGGGACTGTAGAGGATGGGCTACACATAGGACATATATGAAAAATCTACTCGATGGGGAAAATGGACTATCTTAGGAAGGGCCTATACGCCAGAACATTTGTACAGTTTTTCAACTGTAAATCCGAGCACCCCCCCACGTGCCACACGCCACGACAGAAATGACAAGACTCGAGATTCAGTTCAACTGAAATCTCGAGTCAAACCTCGAGCACCCCTCGCGATCCCTTGGCACCCCCCAAAACAATGGCGCACCCCTGAGGGGCGCAATCATGCACGACCGACTTTTCGGTCGTGCTGTACAATGCATGGATGTCATCATTCGCCCTGTCTTGTTGCGATCGTTGGCCCTGCCACGTTCGCAACAGTGCGCGAGCACACGCTCGATCCCTGAGGGCCCACGCACGAAATCAGGACCACACGCGCGGTCAAGATTTCGTGCGCTTGACTTTGACCAATTCGAAATTCAACTGGCCCCTCACCAGTCAAACTATCGAGCCCCTCTCCCTTTGACCCGTACACCACTCGCTCGCATGAGCCACACATGAAACATTACAAACAAATGGGACTTTCATGGGAAGCTCATTTCAGCCTCATTGGAGCTTCATTTCAGCGCGTCATGGGAGCTTCATTTGAGCGCGTCATGGGAGCTTCATTTGAGCGCATCATGTGAGCCTCATTTGAGCGCTTCAAGAGAACAGTGAAAATGCACTAACACGAAATGCAATTACGAATGAAAAACAGAACACACAAAATGCAAGGACGAATGCGGACAGAACACACACAAAACGCGCACACACAAAATGCAAAATGAAATAACATCTCACACACACAACAAATTACCTTTAAACGAAAACACCCCATTTTCATTTACCGTTGGCGAATAGGCGATAGGTTGCCATGCAAACCATGTATTGCACTCAACAGTTCGAACTTCGAAAAAATCTCTAACGTTCTGCGCTGAAGTTCCTGTTCAGCTGGTTGCGTCGTGTCCCGTGCATGGCTGTCTTTATCATATTTATTACTCTGATTAGTCCGAGATTTCAGACATCATGGGCGCGAGTCTCTGAATATTCAGAATAAGCAATTTATGAACACTGATTGATTCAGAGTAATAGTTTTTCTATCCCTGATTTTGAGTACAGTGTAACAGACTAACCTGTTAGTGATCCATGATTTAATACAGTATCGATTATGCGGTCCCTGAATGCTACCTCATCGAAATGAAGATTCGCGGAAATTTCCTCCCGATAACCTCGCTTTCGGATTAGTCGCAGTACAGCCAGCGCGTGAGCAGCGCACAGCAGCAGGTCTGACAGGGGAGTACACTCTACCTAAGTTAGCATCGAGAGATTTGAATCGGTCACTTGGATTGTCATAATCGATAAAGCGTGAAGTTACCATATTTATTTTTGTGTTTCGCACAACGAAGCTAGCGAATTGAGGGTAATCGGCAAAGAGAAAACCTTGGCACATCATTGGTACCGAACTGTTGTTGGTTGACCGAAATAGGCTCATCTCTTCGCCGCGCAAATAACGCACAATATGTCAGAAGTTGAAGGGTGATGATTAGCGCATACAAGGTG